ACCTGCAACTGTGCATGAATTATCAGCTGTGCATGTGCTTAGCAAGTGTGTGCACCACGAAGGGAAATGGGTGCATATGTTCTCATATGAGAACAAAAATTTACTGCTTTCTTATGACTGAAGGCTATCAATTCAACAAAATTAAAAGCAAGATTTAAAAATATATATATATATATATATGTGCACATTCTTACTCAGTTGTTTAGAATTCACCCAAGGCAATTTTATACAGCATTTTCACTCCAGTAAATGCATTCTGGCTCAAGGGTAGAGTCCCCCGTCCAGCCACCACATTAAATTCTCACTTCTGAAGCAGAGGTAATTCATTCTAATTGTCCTTTAAATAAGAATAGGTAGCAAAAATAAAACGAAAACAGGAAATAATGGTAGAGCTAGAGAAACACAGGTGGCTTTATTTCTCTTCTAAAAAAGAATTCGCCTTGTCGTGTGTATGGAGGAGGACATTGGGAATACAAAAACAGTCTGCAAGCTGAAAATTGTATTCTAATAGTTAAAATTTCCACCATGAATTATTCTCATTCAAAGTAAACCTATCTATCACCTTTCATTCATTCATTTATTTATTTCCCTGAAAATCTAGGGGAAAATATTACCTTCAGTTTAGCAACATAAATATGGCATTTGCTTTTCTCCAAAGGGTTTTCCCTTATGAGCAAAGTAAAGAGAATAAAACACCAAAAAAATATTAAAAAATTTAAAAAGGCAAATGATAGGCTACCTTTTTTTGAAACTTCTGGGTTTTGTATCATCAGAGATAAGAGAAATTACCTTCTCAGCAATGACGGTCAGCTCCATCCTGATGTACATCAAGAAATCTGAAATATCAAATGTCATACCAAGCTAGTGAACAAGGAGATTCCTCCATGAACAGTTTAGAAAATGGAGGTGGTAGGATGATACACACAGAAGAGAGAATTACCATCCTCATGCTCTCCCTCATCCTTCTAGGGTACCCACCTTCCATTTCTACCCTACACACACACCCACACACACACACACCCACACACACACCCAAACACACACACACTTTCTCTTTCTAACATACACATACACACACACACACGCACTACAAACACACCCACACCCTACAAGTACACTCACACGTAATCACTTTCCCAGCTCGTGTAGTTATTTGGTAAAGGACTATCAAAATCCAAAAATTAATTCCCCAAGCCTTCACTAATCTCTCAGTGTGCAAGTCAATGCTACAGGCTCCTTATTTGTAAAACATGGTCTAAGATATTCAGAATAGTGAATTTACAATATTGTTGTGTCAGCATTCTCTGATGATGTGTAGGAGGGAAACAAAAGCCTTCAGGCAATATAATAACCTCAATCTGAGTTGAGCAAACACAATCTGTTTGGATTCATATACACTTGTTTGCCATAGCCATTGTTTGAATTAGACAGCAAAATTATTTTCCAGTTTGAAAGCTTCCCTGATTACACCTGAATGCAGTCAACTAGATGTAGAAGCTAAGAAGTGATACAAACTTACTACTTCTAATGATATGAGTTATAAAAGCCAATGTTTTCCTAGCTCAGAAATAACCAGAATGAAATAAAAATCAAGCCCCATCTGTTTTGCTGCTACTGTTTTACTTAACTTCAGGTTTTGTATACCTCTAAGTAGCCAGGGAAAAATTACATGTAATTTTGAATAAAATATATTTGCTAATGAACTCACTAGAAAATGAATAGCTCTAGTACTTCAAATTGTGATTGTTCCAATAGTTACTGAAGATACTGAAAGTTCAGGTTCTTTATTGTATTTTACTTCATAGTTATATGTTCTTTAAAGAAGGAGCATGCTTCCCGAATGGATAACATCAATATGGAAAAATATTAACTTTGGTTCTTCTTTTAAGCAAACATGACACTAAATATCATTTTCATTCATGAAAAAAGTTAGGCAAATTACTTTGTAAATGCAATTATCTTTCGGGCTGAATTTAACTTTATTATTTTCTATGCATTCCTACTGATTTATCACGTGTACAGATACAGATCATTTTAATAACACTTCGTGCATCCTTTCAGTGCAATGAACCTATTATTTAGAAATCCTCACAAACAGTGGAGGGCATGACAAAAATATACAGTAACAAGAGAAAATAGTGCTGGCTTCCCATTGCTTATTTGCATTTAACTGTTTTACAGCTGCCTCCTCAAAATATAAGCAAGAGAAGTGAATAACGAATTTAAGTTTTTGCTGTTTGGGGACCTAATAAGAGATGAAGGATAGATGCTACAAAGCCCACTGAACACCAAACTGGAATAATAATAAAGCTGTCTTTCTAAATAACATGCCTGTGCCTGTCAGTAGCTAGTTTATTTGCGTTCTTCACTGCTTTGTTTATATTAGTGTCCCCTCCCTCCTGGGTGCCTCCAGAGTTAAACAAGTAGATATTTACCTCCAACTTAATCCTGAGCTTTAAAAATATAGACCAAACTCTAAGGTTCTTAAAATTTTCAATCATATTTATTTATTGCAGAAAAATAATATACAAAGATATTTACAAAACAATCATAAAAATATGAATGCATTTAGACACCGGATCTATTTGCATTTTACCATGGGTCAACAATAAATAAATAGAATGTTGTTTTTTGTATTTTAAGTTTTTTTTTCTCTCAGAGGAAGAATGTAAAAAGGAATTAACTGACTGTGATTTTGCAAGTCAGTTTAATCCCCGCATTTTTATTTCTAAAGACGTTCTTAAAATTCCTCTGGTTGTTACCATTTTAAAATGGAGAAAAGTCCATAATGATGCCTTTCCTTTCAGTGGCTGATTGGCACGACCTCTTGAGAATGCATGCATGAAAAAATAAAAATAAAAACATTCTTCGTCAAAAAAAAAAAAAAAGGAACACAAACAACTGTTCAGACTTCTATCAGAATGTAGAGGTGTGAGGATGGTGCCGCTGCCCGTCTGGGAATCACTGTCCACGGGCCTGTCTCGCTTTCTCTTTTAAAAGTGCGCCCCACGCCCTGTTTCTTTGAATTTGGGTTCTGCTCTTCTAATTTCCAAGAAAATCTTTGGCATATATATTTATTTTTAGTTATCCAGCTCCAGAGTCTCTAGACTGTCCATTTTCTCCTTCTCTGGAAACAATGACATCTGCAAAAACCCAGAGGGGGGAAAGGTGGTTATTGTTTAGGTCTCCGTGGCTGTTTGCTAAGACTAGTGAGCACTGTTCTTATCACCACTACTGAGAAATTACGCTGAACAACCTGGAAGGATTTCAGCCCCAGGGCAAGAGGAAGTGGGTGGGCGGAAAGAAGGAGGAGGTGGAATTTGGAAGCATTTGTTTTAAGGAGAACGAAAACTTAAAGCCCAAGGAAAGGGAGGCCCTGGCAAGAAAACCGTCCTTATACCCGTGACCCTCGAATCTCTCTCAGTCTTCCCTCCTGTCCGTCACGCACACTCACGCACACGCACACTCCTCATCGGGGCGCATGCCCCTCTCCCTAGCGGGGACCGACCTGCCTTTCAGGGACGCTGGGCGGGGGGAGGGGAGGTGGGGTTTGAGGTGGCGGTGCCAGGCTGGGTGGGAAGGCTGAGAGGGGGGTGAGGAAGGCAAGGTGGACGGGGAGCCGCGGCCCGGCCGTCAGTCCATCTGCCACCTGAGCGGCGGAAGGGCGAAGGGGCGCAGAGGCGCCGGTCCTTACCTAGGTCTCCGGCCCTGCCGAGGGGGTGGGGAGCTCCGCCTGCTAGTGGGACGCGGACATGGACCAGGCCCCCTCCATCCTCCAGACCGAGAAGGCGTAGCTCAGTCGCTCGTGGGCCACATAGCTGCAGCTTGCCATCTTGGAGTCCAGCTCGTCGCTCTGGAGAACCTGGTAGAGGAAGTCGATGTACCTGGCCGCCAACTTGAGGGTCTGGATCTTGCTCAGCTTATCCGAGGGCAGCGTGGGGATGATTTTCCGCAGCGCGGCGAACGCCTCGTTCAGCGACTGCGTGCGCTGGCGTTCCCGCACGTTGGCCATGACCCGCTGCGTCTGCAGCTCCTCGTACGACTGCGGGCTCCCGCCGCCGCTGCTGCTGCCGCCGCCGCCGCCGCCGCC